AATTTGAATATTTGTTAGATAACACCAAAAAGACTAATTTAGAAATACGGGATATAGCTAAAGTGTTTTTTTTAGTCATTTTTTAAAATTTTTATTTCACTATTCACCGCTTCAACTTGAATAATGAAACATAAACTATTTCATTATTCACTATTCATCACTTAACATTGAATAGTGAATAGTGAACTATTTCATTATTCATTATTGAATTTTGAATAATGAAAAATGAATAATGGACGTACTTCAGCGTGGTACCTTTAATGGAGACTATTATCTACAAATTAATGGAACTGCACATCAATGGCTCCATCGTAAGCTAACAATTTACGGACAAAATAGAAAAAAATAACTCCTTGAGTATATTATCGAAAACCCGATTTCCTGTTTTAGATTCATATATGAGGTGGATATGAAATGAAATAAAAGTGACGAGGATTTAGATACATTCATCACTCATGCCAAAAACACACATCAAAGTATCAAATTTACTCATGAGAGGTCTAAATCCAAATCCCCTTTCTCTATTCTTCCAGCTCACTAACAGATGGCATTATATCCACAAGCCTATATTTTAAACCTACTGGTACTCACCAATACCTGTCCCCAAAAACTTCCACCCTGTTCAATGTACAAAGAGCATCCCGTACATTCAGGCACTTAAGAGTCTAGCGAATATGCACCAACACAGACACAACTGAAACACGACTGAGTCAAATCGAGACCAGCTTAAAGAGACAAATCTATTAACCCAAGACTTTTCAAAACAGTGTTCAGGAAGCGGAAACTGTCACACAATTAAGGAGCGAACTGCTATAATACAAAGATAAAAATAAAAATAAAAGGGACTCCACGTGTTCTTATTACCATCCATCTGTAAACATCCCGGCTTTGATGTCATTCGTGAGCATTGGAAATAAGTTTAAAAGAATCACAAACTATCCAAAATCCCCCCATCCCCCCGATCTCCAATGATAGCTTTTATGAAACCCAATAGTCTGCAGAACTTGTTGGTGCGGGCTGAAGTGTCTCAGCCGAGTATGTCGTTCGTGTGGTGACAAACACTGTAAATGTTGCCTACAGCTGCATCACTCATCATCATTCCACAGTGGAGGCCAGCAAAAATAACTATAGAATTTTTTACCATGTGACCTGCTAAAGTATGGATGTTATTTACATTCTATAATGTTTGGTCCGTGGCCTCCAATATGTTGGTGAGTCAAAGCAGCTATTCCACAAACGCCTCAAGGAACTACATGCATATACTATTTAGTTTTGTTTTGTTTAAAGAATTGCAGGTTGCAAATTTCGATTTAATAAATAGTTCAAAATTTACCTGCATTACTGAGCTATTTTAAAACACAAACAACTGGTATAATTGTATTACATATGATAGAGACATTTGACACCGAAGAAAGCTTTTTGTTCAACCGAAATATTTGTCAACACCCTTTTATAGCATTCTCTTCGTATTTTGCCATCATAAATTAGTATCGTTGCGCAAATCTCAAGGTATATATATTTTTTTTCTTATACATTAATTGCAATTAATTTTATTCATGATTTAGGTAATATGGTGTTTGTCGTGTATTGCTTGTTTAAGTTGTGGTACCGAGATTAATTTGCAACGTCGATTGTAAAAATGCAAACTTATTGGGGACGATGCCGTGCTAACTTTTACACCACGGTCCCAGGTTATGGGTGGATTGGCCGCCGCATCTCCAAGCCAGGAACATGCAACACAGTGATTGGTTGCTGTCTACATATATGTTTTAAATTGTTCATTGTTGGTTTTCTCTTTTAAATTGTTTCACATTTTGTGATACCGGGGTCTTTTAGAGCTTACTATACGGTATGAGTTTTGCTCATGGTTAAAGGTGGTTCGATGACCTGCAATTTTTCACATCTCTGTCCTATCACGGTGACCATCGGAATTTTGGGTCCTCGATGCTGTTCCACTTCCTACTTTATTTTGGTCCTTTATCTTCATTTGAATCGAGCGTCACAGATGAGTGTTTTGTAGACGAAAAGCACGTCTGACGAACAAATGATAAGCCTGCAATCTTTGGTAAGTTTTATAGGTTGACTTGCGTGAGAATGTTTGGTATCGGAGACTTTGTCCTGATCGGTGCTGGTGATCGTTAAAAATATGTAGACAAAGACGACAATGATGATTTTTGACGTTTCTAAAAAACAAAAACAAAATAAATAATTGTGATCTTTTGAATTAATTTTATATGTTCAAAAGCAAGCAACTAAAACATGGCCTTCTAAATTGCTTTGAAGTATACGCAACGTCAATAAAGAATAAAAACACTATATCTACACGAGGCCACCTACGGACCCCTTAAAGAGTTGATGCAAGGTTTCTTAACTTGCAGAAAGTGTGGCACTATATCTACACGAGGCATTGGATTTAAGTCCGCAGTCTGACGGGTCCGAATGGGGTAAATCTTGTATACAACAATGTTAACAGCTACCCCCGCTGGCAGTTTCCTCTAGTACGCAGAGCTTTGTAAAATCTGGAGAGGCAAGGACATGTGATGTCTTCAGTACATTATAAGCTTAAGTAAACCACTGATTTACCCTCTCGGAACACCTGAGTTTACCCCGGTTTTATGGTAGATCATGGTAGTGCTAATATTTCTCAGTATCCATCTGCCTAGTGTTTAGTGGATTATTGTTTGACTTTTTGTCATTTTCAACAGCATACCGAATTCCATGAATCAATTGATTGATTGTTGTTCGATTAACGTCCAGTAGCAAATATTCCATGCATACTTAGGACGAGAACAAATTAACAATAAATACACTATGTAGGTCATGTAAAAGGGGTCGACCGGGATGAAGGGCGGAAATTTAGAACACCACTGGAAAATGGGTATATATTGGATAGGAATTAACAGATATTTAGCCTTGTTACAGGCCACCTACGGACCCCTTAAAAAGTTGATGCAAGGTTTCTTAACTTGCAGAAAGTGTGGCACTATATCTACACGAGGCATTGGATTTAAGTCCGCAGTCTGACGGGTCCGAATGGGGTGTTGCTAAATATGGACGGAATTTGAGAGAAAAAAAAATGGCGAGAACTACGAAAATCAATAAAGACTGAATACCAAGGAAAATAGAAACAGTTTTGGAAATACATAACAGCTAAACAAAACTAGAGGCTCTACGGAGACTATGTCGCTCATCTAGGTCTATGTTCATATTCAAAAATGGGCACTCCCCAACATTGTATACTTGAATAGATTCATGACAAAAATCTCTGTTTTGTTGATCTTGCATTGCTGGCCATTTTTTTGTTGACAGTTTCTCACTATCTTCTTTAGTTTCTACCCAAAACACAAAAGAGGGTACGTTTCCGCCGTTTAGCAGCACCCCATTCTGACCGGAAGTTGCTTCGAATTTATACATCACGCAAAGCCAAAACGGACGCATGTGTGAGCCAAAATTTGTTCCTGTGAAAAAAGTTCCAATGGAACTTATATCACAGGAAATATGTTCTGGGAGAACTTTTTTCACAGGTAATTTCTATATAATTTGTTCCATCTCTATAAAATAAGTTCCACACTTTACCTGGTGAAATAAGTACCGGTTTGGTGAAATTAGTTCCTTACCTAGTGAAATAAGTTCCGGTTTATGAGTTTTGTTCCTTACCTGGTGAAATAAGTTCTGAGTTTGTGAGATTTGTTCCTCACCTGGTGAAATAAATTCCTTGTCTGTGAAATATGTTCCACTGATTAAACATGTTATCCTATATACTGAGCATTTGTCATTAGTGAGTTTAAAGTTATCATTCAAGTGCATTATAAAATTAAGTATTATATTATAATAAAATAGATAAAAAGTGTAAATCATTCAGTTTGGATCCTATGGAGTATAGCAAATGTTTAATTATATACTCTAAAAAAATATCTAAATGACACTTTTGAACCAGGAAAGATTAGAATAAGAAAAATCATTCAGAAAAAAAGTATAGTATAAGAGGAACATATGGACTAATTTGAAATGGACAGAGTGACTTGATCATTTATACATATCAAAAGACATGTAGAAAAAAAAGACACACTCTTTTGAAACTGTGCCATGTCCTAAGTACATGTATGACTAGAACACGGGGCCATGACGGTTAACAGGAACTAAGGAGGAATACCGCATAAAACATAAATACAAATTATGACACATTACCATCGCTTTTATTTCTTATTTTTATCTTATAGTTACAGTCATGCCTTCAATTGCAAATGTCGTCCTGAATATGCATGAACTATTTGCCACTGGACGTTAAGCAACCAACAATCAATCAATCAATCAATTGCAAATGTATCCCATGCAAGTACACTCAGTACAGCATTTAGCTTGCATTATAATTTAAGTGTAACAAGAAAAATTTTCGGTGTGCAATAGTGATTGAGCGGAACTTATTCATTAGTTTCTATGAAGTATTTACATGTTCGTTTAAAACTAATGTCACAGGAACTTATTTAAAACTTTTTAATATTTATTGAAACAAAATTCATGGAGCTATGATTTTTGTTCCGGAACTTATTTTACAGTTGGCCAAAAAATTAGTTCCGGAACAAATTTTACAGTAATGGAACATATTTTCTGTGATATAAATTCCGGTGGAACATATTTCCTATGAAATTTGTTCTGGCGGAACAAATGTCACGCCGGAACAAATTTTTTGTTACACATGTTCAACTTTGACCAACTTTGGCAATGGGATTACTGCTGACCGAAAGAAGACCAAGGAATAACCATATTTCTATACCCCTGTCAAATCTCGGGGTGTTCCATTTATCAAACCAATGCGGCTATTTTCATAGCTAATTAAACCATCAATTTATCTTTAGCAAGAGTTTTGTCGCTCGGCACTGTGAGTTAAGCTCGATTCTCCTAGCACGTGATTCAGACAGGTTTCCAAATTATTTTGTTTATTACGTTTGTTTGCGGTTTTTATAGAAGGGAAGAGAGAATAGTGATACTTAACTCAGAAACGGTATTTAGTAGACTTTATTTCTTAATTAAATACATTAAATATTTAAACCTGTTAACAATGTGTATTCTGTAAACATCATACAAAAGCCATTCAAAATATAAACATCATTATGTCTCCCTTGGACATAATGCCCCGCTCACACTATCACATTTCAATGTTCAGTGAAACGCGAAATCTGTATCAAAACCCTAATTGGCATATATCTTAAGTTCACATCATGGTGACTACAACTTCACGGTAAACTCCCTTCACCTGGTACGGGACGACAAACGGATTGGAAATAATGCTTCCTTCAATCACAGGCGGGGCATAAAAAAAGCAAATACGTATTTTAAAATTGATTCAACATGCGATGTGTCTTTGAAAATATGCATTTAAAATCGTATTTTGACATCTAAATCTCTCTTAATTTTCTGAGTTGTTTGGTAACAGAATTCAACATTATAAAAAATACATTTCATATATACAACACTCCCAATTAGTGATTCATCATTATTATCTTTTACTTAAATTAAAGATACTGATGGTATCAAAAGCTCGCTGCGTTATTGCAAGACGTAGGTTTCTGCCATTACATGCAATTAATTCTGGATTGAATACGCCATCTTCATCTTGAAGAAGTGTCCTCTTTTTCCCAGAATCTATTGCTATTGCACAAATTTCTTGTCCATAATTATCTGAAACAATTAAATCATTTCCAATTTTTAAAAGACCTCTTGGTCCACCCTCCACCTGACATTTCCATTTTAAAGATCCATTGAAATGATAACAACGTACAAAACGGTTGTCAAAATCCGACACAGCAACAACTTGGTGCATGTTGTCTATCTGGCAGTACGGGCCAAGGGCAATGTCTTCATTATCGCTGCCTTTCATTCTTATCACATGTATTTCATCACCAAATATATCTAAAATACGAATAGCACATTTATCTTCAATTTCAATATCACATGTGACTGCATATTTACCGTCTCCATAGCTGATGCCGTAAGCATCTCCGCTCACTTCAAAATGTTTTGAAGATCGGCTCATACCAAAATGGCCAATGGAATAAAAATGAACTTCATTTAAACAAGTTACAGCAATTTCCTTATCAGATATTTTAGTCATGCACACACAGTCAACGGGCACCTCGACTTCCGACAGAAATCTGAAGAGTGTGTTAAATCGTTTTAATTTGCAGTTATTAGTATCCAGTACAATTATGTGATCATCCTGAACAAATTCAATCCCTGATATCCAACTTCCGGTTGTGTCTTTATCATTAGCACAACAAAATTCAGTGGAAGGCTTAGGTTGGTAATCACCAATTCTACCAATTTTAACATCATCTTTGTCTTTTAGTGATACCATTGTTGCTTCCGGTTGAGGGGTTTTGTTTTCTAAAGATGAAGCGTTTGTGTTTTCGTGTTCATTGTTATTGTGGACAATATTTGTTGTTACATTCTTTGCTGAAATCTGGGTATTTTGTGCTTTTCTGAGTCTAGGAACGGATTTTCGTTTTGTCGTTTGATTAAACCCAGTAAGACGATATTGGATTTCCGGTCCTCTTTCTCCAGGTAACATGACAGTCTTTACTTTAGTATCTGCCTTCTTGTTCATTGTTTTCGACATGATTCTGCAAAAAGAACTTATACGGTCATACTTATAATTTGTTTAATGTATATTACGACTAAATTTATGTTAATGATGGGGTGAAAAGGTCTTATGGTTTGAAACTTAAGAAGTAAAAAGACTTTTTCTTAGACTTTTTGATAAACATTTCAGTGAATATTTTTGGAGTCAAGTTAATTCATCCGGGCATGCAGTAGTTAGCTGAGATTGCTCTGACGTCTGATGGACATTTTTTCGGATTTTCTTTGTTTCCCATTGCCACCTGACGTCAGTGCATTCTAGGACTAGGCAGACATGAACATATCTCTTCCTGTCCGTTTGTGTATACATGTTCAGATTTTAGACAAGTATTAGGCATAAATATATATAAGTTACGTTTGTAATAGATGATGTAAGTAACTGTTTGTGCAAAAATAAACTCTATATTTTAGAAGAGAATATGCTCAAACATTTACCCTGAGAGTTAAAGTAGTGTTGTCTGTTCTTTCAAAGTAATGTAGTAATATGAATTCCAACCTAAACTTTGGCACTATAATCAACTCTAAGGTGTGTTCTTCCGAAGTAATTGAGTAATACGAATTCAATCATAAATGTTGTCTCTATAATCAACTCTAAGGAAACTCGTATTTCTTCTTATACGAAGGATACTCCGGCTAAGTAACCTTTGTGGAAATAAAGGGTGACACCGGATACAAAAAAGAAAAGCTTCATAAATCAGTACATAAATCAGGCCGTTTTCTCATTTGAAATGTTTTACAATTGTCATTTCAGGGCCTTATTGGTTTAGCTCATTGTTGAAGGCCATACGGTAACCTATAGCTGTTAATTTCAAAGTCATTTTTTATATTGAATGAGAAAAGGGAGGCCATTAGGGTTTAGTTTTAGATGGGAGGGCGTCTTGGCTTACAATGCATTACCTGCATACTTACCACAACTTTCCTGTATGGGTATTACAAGTAATATTTTATAATGCGAGAGTAATCAATTTGTTTAAAAGTTATTAAGTTAATCAGCTTATTGAAATTAATGCCCATTAACATATATAATTACACTTTAATTTACGGATCAAGTAATATATTTAGCACCTTACTGTTACACAAAGATAAAGTTAATTTTTATCAAGTATGTGTTGCAGATATTAAAGTTGGCATAAGTTCTCAAGGGTACACTATATACACTTGTTTGCTCCTTATTCAATTAAATAACCGAGTTACGATCCAATTGAATAACCGAGTCACAATGGTCAGGGTAATTATATAAAAAGTAAACATGTATTCAAATAAAGTTTAAAACATTTTATTTTGAATACCTTTACATATATTAGATACATAAATCACTTCTTTACATATATTAGATACATAAATCACTTATGAAATAAAACTATTATATTCTCTTGAAATGTATTATGAAGGCAACAATGTTTAAATCATTTAAGTTTGAGGAGGTATGTCTAATGCTCTAAAGTTACACCGATATAAACGTACTGCAGTTGAGAACACAAGGGGAAAAATGACTTGCTTTCTTTGAAGGACACTTCTTTTTACAGACCCATATATTTCAAATAACGATTCTAGCTGTGGTTTAACTGTCATTAAGAATCGATTATTGAAAAAAAAAAGATTAAGGAATAAAAGTGTTCGTGACGATTTGATAATATCGCTTTTGTAACAGTTGAATATGAGTTTTGTTTAAACAAAAAATTTACTTTGGAACAAAAGAAAATCAACCTCTGATATTTAAAGCCTCTTTTGTTACCGAAAAAGTTAATGTATGGTAATTGTATCATAAAATGATACGTGTCATATATGTTATGATAAAAATGAAAATTTTAAATGCAGAATAATTAAAAACTTTTAAGTTACTTCACACAATTAAGCTTGCCCGGAATGTGATCGTCTAAAAGTTGGGGTTTCGTATCAAGTGAAGAAGGAAAAGTGTGTGTGTGTGTGTGTGGGGGGGGGGGGGGGGGGACCAAATCGGTTTGGACAGTATGTCTTCGGGAGTAAGAATGTAATACACGTCCCATACTTAACTTTTGATCTATTATCTACACTTAAGAAGTGGTGGGTTGTGCTCAGCGGCATGGTAGACTTCGCCATTTACTCTTAAAAATATCTGTCTTATTCAGTTACATAAGGTGCAGATTGATTGATTGTTGGTAGCTTAAATTCCTATAAGGGGTAGAAACACCAGTTATTATGACAATCTCAGTCTCTTTGAAAGAGTTCTCACTGTAGTTCAAGTTAAAAATTGTGTATTTCCTTCACTAAGAATTCTTTAAAGTGAAGATCTTCATGGAACACAGTTTTTTTGTTTTCATTTTACTGAAAGATATTTAGTAATATTTCTTAAAAAAGTGAATAAAACTTACCTTGTTTTAAAACGAAGCACGACAACAGTTTACACTTCTAGAGTTAAATCCATCCATGTTAATCTGTCCTGGCATGTATAGAAATATTTAAATCATGTCATAGGATTAGCTTTTAAACAAATACCAGCAAATTACAAAAATAATAATTAAAGTTTAAGATTTTGATAATTTTCAAAACTACAGAAGCGTTCAAATGCATTCTTCCGTTTTAAACAACATCGCATCGGTAAAACTCTTTTTCCACTTAACATTTAAAGCTTTAAGTAATAAAAATAGTAACAATTGAGATATCATATGGCATTTAAATCGATGAGACAATTTGAAATATTTATTATAAACATTGACTATATAGTTATTGATTTATATATGACATGTCTAAAGAGTTTAGATTAAAAGGGGTTTTAAAGTAGCTTTGTCTATGTCACATTTTATGTGTTTGTCCTGGACGACGTGCTATCTTTTTTGATCTCGGTTATTATTGAGAAAATTAATGAACTGTGGGTAAAAGAATGGTATTGATCCGTGTTATTTTCATATAGATGGATCTGCAAATAGTGGTAACCAAATGAATAAAACGATAAATTATTAAGATAAAACACGTGATTAGGTGATTAACTAGAGACACCAAGCAACCGCTTTCGCTAATCTATACTATATGCGTAATTTTTGCTGAGTTACAAAATCGCATGCCTCACACTGGCTCACAGCAATGATTATGGACATTTTCACGGAAAATATCACAGGGACGTCATCCATGATGATTCTTCAAGAGAACGAACACCATCGCCTTTGGTCCCAGCAAACTTAGGTTATCAGCAGACTGCTGTTTGGTGGTAAATTCATCGGTTGTGCTCCATTTTGTAACATTAAGGAATATAAACCATAATCACAAATATGTATTGTTTATTTTTAATTATGTTTTGTTTCATAGCAATTTGTCTTTCGCAGAATTTTACTAAATTTTCTGGTGGCAGAAGATCACGCTGGATCGATCGACGAGGTGAACTAAAATGTTCATTGATAAAACATGATTGAATTCATTTTATTTTATTTATATATTACATAGCTTTTATATAGCGCCTATCTCATAAACATAATACTCTAAGCGCTTAACATATAGAATTGAAGGAAAATATATATCACAATGCATACAATAATAGCAAATATATATATATATATATATATATATATATATGAACATAAGAATGAAACAGAAATTAAATAGAATAATGATGTAAATTAAAAGCATAGCCATTGAAAGGGAAAATATATATCACAATGAATACCATAAAAACATATTTATAGAATAACTAATCGAAGAATTCAAATAGAGAAAAATATTCAACGAGTGACCGAACAACACATTAATTCACGAATGCGCGTAGCGCATGAGTTAATTATCAGTGTTGTTCGGTCACGAGTTGAATATTTTTCGATATTTGAATTCTTTGATAAGTTATTCTTTTTATTACATTGGCAAATGGCTTTTTTATGAAATTAAAGTAGAGAATGTAAGGAACTATATCTTTTTTCTACGCATTCACAATTTGTTTTGATCCGACGTTATCAACGTCTTGACAACGCCTATTGTTGTATGACGTCAGAGGAGTGAAATAACCACGTTTATTTCACATGTGAAATTATCGGTTTTTATTTCACTGGGAAATCAATGTAATTCATTGCAACCAATGTAATAATAGAATATAACAGTCAACCAAAATTAAATAAAATAATGATGAAAATTATAAGTATTTACATGGAATGTGACCAGAGAATTGTTACCCCGCTGGTATTTTATATAATCCTACACGTCTCTCTCAACCTGAATCGGATTATTTTATTTAAGGTTTCAATTCTGCGTGGTTGTCGACATGTTTAGTTTTTGTCTCGCCCGCGACGAAAGTCGCTGAAGGTGAGATATATAGGTATTGCTTAAGGGCATCCGATACAGTTTCAAGGGAGTTAACTCTTTGCGCGACGTTAAGCGTTCGAATTCCCGCAAAACGTCACTTTCTGCGGGACGTTATGCGTGTAATTTTCCCTAATTAGAACGATATATTGTACAATCGATGCACCAATTTATGTTTCTCATGCATGCTAACTTCTACACCATTAAGATTAGTGCATTTGATTCTAACAGGATAAAAGTTTAATAAAACTATTAGAAATTAAACACATTACTGTTTCTGTTGTTCCTCATTTTGAAGTTTCTGTGAGATCTTCAACAAAATATCGTATAGACGTCGCGTACGGTGTTGGTGTTAGTTTTGGTAACGTTAATTTGACGTTATTTTTCATGCATTTTACAAATAACGGATCATAGCGTCGTAAAAATTTCATTTCCTGCAGCTCACCACATAATTTGTATGAGCTGTTTGCTTGACTTGCTACGTAAAGAACCGAAAAGCAAAAGCAGCACATATTTCTTAAAGTGCAGATATATTAAATTAATACAGTATCACCTTGGAGCAAAGATATTTTCTCTTTCTTTTGATTGTAACAGGATATTTTTATTTTTTAAACCACTGTCTTTACTGCTGCTTTATTGTATCCGCTTTTGATAGTTTCTGGATAAAAATGTTATTAGTTGAAGCGTTTATTTCATTACCTGTATTAAAGGTTGAGTATGACTATTGTTGAAAGCAAATTCAAAATTTACAACAACAAACATAATTTAATCTGATTTCTTGCCCGGCGCGGGACGTTTGCGCTTTTTCATATCACATTTGCGCTTTTTTTAATGGACATTTGGCCTTCAATTCATATAGGACATTTGCGCTTTTTAAATGTGGACATTTGCGCTTTTTGTATAGGACATTTGCGCTTTTACAAAAGTTTCTTTATGGAAAAAAATTAAATAGTCTTTCCATATCACATTCGTGTTTGAACATGCAATTTTGCTCTTGTAAGTTGTCCTGACTGGTATTTCGCCCTCATTTCAAATATATATTCTTGTCTCTATTTCTCAATTCTTGACTGAGACGCCTGTTCATTAATATATCGAATTTTAATGTTATAAACTGTTGTACAATGATAAGAAACCATTGTGACATAGACATTTTTTACCGTACCTGTCTCTATAATCTTATACTTTTATGTTTAAGACTGTGTCAATGTTAACTAGCTAACGACAAATACAAGTTGAATTTATTTACGTATCTCATTAAAATGTAGACGATTAAGTCCCAGGTTAGGGGGAGGGTTTGGATCCCGCTAACAAGTTTAACCCCGCCACATTCTGTATGTATGTGCCTGTCCCAAGTCAGGAGCGTGTAATTCAGTGGTTGTCGTTTGTTTATGTGTTACATATTTGTTTTTTGTACATAAATTAGGCCGTTAGTTTTCTCGTTTGAATTGTTTTACATTGTCATTTCGTGGCCTTTTATAGCTGACTATGCGGTATGGGCTTTGTTCATTGTTGAAGGCCGTACGGTGACCTATAGTTGTTAATTTCTGTGTCATTTGGTCTCTTGTGAAGAGTTGTCTCATTGGCAATCATACCACGTCTTCTTTTTTATATTAAAGTTAAAAAGCGTAAATGTCCGGTCAATTTACTACAGGTGTATCTAAATTTAAAGCGTAAATGTCAATAGTGTTTGAAGCGCAAATTCCTATCGTGTTATGTGTGAAAAAGCGCAAACATCCTTTGCCCAATTTGCCAACTGCGTATAGGTATAAAACCACTAATTCATAGCCCCATTGCTTTCTATGTTAAATTCTGCAATTTCAAGCATAAATGGCTACTTTATCTTAATTTCAAATAAAGTGGCAGTTATTTCATGTCAAAACTGTACCTTATGCTGACTTGTGCTGATAAAATCAACATACTTTTAATTGCATATTAGAGCGTACTGGTTCCCGGAAGTTTGATAGTACAAAAACAGGAACTTCTGATCTGAACAACAGGCCAAACGAGCCCTCCTATTAAAATTTCCTATACTTCTTTATTATTCAAATAAAACTTTCAACAAGGGTTCTACAGTGACCCCAAGTCCCCAAGCTTTCATTTGATACTAAAACTACCCAAATATTTCCACTATTGACAAAGATGCAGCTATGCGTAGGAACTAGTTTGTTTAAAATATGTACTACTTTCTTGTATGTTCTTTCCGACCCGGGGCCTGAATTAGTGGTTCTATACCTAAAGGAAATCTAATCTCAACTATGAACAAGTAAACCGATACAGTATATATATAAAAAATTATAAAAAAAAGTTATGGTTTTGCATGAGATATTTGCGACGTAGGGCACTACATGTCAAGTTATACAGAACGTAACGTCAAAACGAGTAAAAAAGCATGATGTGACATTATGACTTGACAAAAGTAGTCGCTGACTGTGACGTTAATACTTTCGACATGTAGTCGAAAATGGGTTCAAATAAATTTCTGAAATATATATTTTAATGTTAATATATAGTATTTTTTGTGCTATTGTAATTTCAAAAATCCCCCCGCCAAAACTGTATTATATGACTTATCATATTTGTAACACAATTGTAAAAAACGGCGTTTTGTGACATTTTGACTAGACACAAATAAAAAGCTCGCGTTTATTTTCTTTTTTAATATTTTCCCTTGAAACTTCGACTTATTTTTTTTTTCTTTCACTTGAAAAACATCTTTTCACGTTTAAATAAATTTTCAGATCGTAGAAAAGACCGCAAATGCCTATTGTTTTTCATTAGACACTTAACAAATACGCCGAAACGTCAAAAAACGGCAAGTGTGACATTTCAACGGATTTGATAAAATTAACAATTTAGGACATAATTTAAACAATATCTAATTTTAGAAGACATAGAAAGTTTTATAGGTATTGTATAATTTTGACACTGAAAGGGTGGATATGTAAATTGTGATTTGAGTCTGCAGCATTCGTTCGAATTTTGAAGAGCTCTTTATGAAATGAGAGATTTGGGTTATGTGACAGAAATAAAAATTTCTAATTACCATAAATTCTGCCACGATACTTTGAAATATTGTAGCAAAACTTTTTCTTATTTTTTTCCTTGTCATATACGGAATAAAATGATATATTAATTTCGGAATAATCTATTTGAATTATTTTTTAATATCACTCTTAACTTCTCTCCTATTCATTTTTTTTTTTACAATTTTCGGCTTGGCCACAAAACAAAGTGAACTATTCGTTCTGGTCAGACGCGTCCAGTTAACGATTACGTCATAAATAAAACATACGCCATTAACACAAAAGACTGCTCTTTCTAGGGATATAGCAATCTCAAGACGACTGACCCTTTCGGTGTTA